CTGCTACTCATGCTTGGAGTTCTGTTAGGCACCCAAACCAAGAATCTCATGATGGTCTTTCCAGGCTCTTTTGTCCTTCTGTGTGCTGTTTTTGGGATGTTTACAAATGCAAACAAGTACTGTCTTCTAATGTCCACTTCTTCCAATAGAGGTTCTGAATAAAGGGAAAACACAATTATCTATGGTTCAAAACTATATTTCATATTTTAGGAGATAGCTTAAGAAGCCAGGCATTGTCTAATGCTGGCTTTTCCACTGACTTCCTTTTCTTCTGTGGGGAAAGTTTCTCAGTGTTCTGTTGGGTTCTTCATCTGAAATCATAAAACTACAAAATCACAGAGCTGGCAAACCTTCGAGAAGTCTTCCAGCTCACGGTCTGCCTTGAGCCCTTCTGAACTTACACTCTCCTGGAATGTAATGGTCTCCTCCTTGCTTAGCAATCTCTCACGAGGGAGACTTGACAAGGAAGGATGGTATGATCTAAATGTTTAATATACAAATTACTCTGGCAGTTTTAGGAAAATGTATGGAAGATGATTTGAAGTTTATTATGAAATTGCTAATAATTTATTCAACTCAATTTTCTCTTTGAAGTTCTATGGTGGATAATGATGGGTCTCTAATGGAGTGCTTCCAAGTCTGGAAAGGGAGCTGGGAGTCATTGTATGACAGGGGTCTGTGACACGCTAAGGTACTGAGCTGGAATTCCAAGCAGCACAGCCTGGGTCAGTCCCAGGTGAAAGTATCACATAGGTGAAGTCTTTCTTGATTTGGGCACCGTGAAGTCTACTAGTTTTCTCCTACTGCTCTGTGATCCTAGAGGATTTGGCTTTTCTTTCTTTCAATTCTCAGTTGGGTGGAAACTATTTATTGAGATGTTTATCAATAATTACAGCATCAGTGCAAGTGGCTGAAAGGAGGGCATTTGAACAGATGATGCGGTTAAAAGTTGGTGTCCAAAGGACCCAAATACCTGGTTATGGTCGTATTTGTGAGATGATCATAAGAATGTACCCAGCAGACCTCCAAGTACAGTGCTTGTAACTGACCAAGGGTCCCCAGCTGCTGCACTCTGAAATCTGCCATATTCACACCGAGGCCACACTTCCTAGCCAATAACTGAGCCAGGCAGGCATAATAGGGCAAACTCATGCCTGGGAGACTCACAACTCCTCTGACAGTCAACATTGGCTCATAGACTTATCCATGGCCTTGCAGATTTTCCCTTCAGCTGTTGGGTGAGTCCATCCAACCTTCTTTCCCTCTTTGGGCCTTCAGAGTATGGCTTGCATGTGGATATCACTCCTTTTCCATTTTCCCCTAGCTCTCTCCTCACTTTTACCTGTACGTGCCCTAATGAAATCCTTGGCTTGGTTATCTTTTTTTGTTTTTTTTTAATGTTTGTTTAATTTTGAGAGAGAGCAAGAGAGAGAGAGTGAGAAAGAGCAAGAGAAAGAGAGAGAGCACGAGCGGGGAAAGGGCAGAGAGAAAGGATGACAGGGAATCCGAAAGAGGCTCCAGGCTCTGAGCTGTGAGCACAGAGCCCAGCGTGGGGCTCGAGCTCAGGAACAGCAAGATCATGACCTGAGCCGAAGTCAGCCACTTAACTGATGAGCCATCCAGGTGGCCCTTGGCTTGGTTATCTTTATGCCCTAAACACAATAAACACAAGGTTGTGTTCCTTTACAAAACTTCTTTTGAAGGCTTGGAGGTATTATAAGAGAATAATAACAATGAAAAAGGAAAACTTACCACTGGTTCAAATCTCACCAATTCTAGATGCCATCGGTCATCCTCATCACAGGAAGCATTCATTTGACTGACTCTTCTTAGCTCTTTGCCTACTGTGACATTGTTCAGGGTCACTTTATCTCCCTTAAAAAGGGAGTCCTCTCAAATCAGTTCTTCCTGGAAATCTGGGACATTTGTTCTTGTCTCCCTCTTCATTTCTCATCCTAGCCAAAAATTTTAAAATGAAGTTAACAACATACTGGTTTCCACAGAGATGCTGTTCATAAAGCCATCACTCCACCTTAGTCTGAACTTCCCTATTTCAGAACCAGATGTTGGTTTTTCTTTTGCATAAAACAAAGGCCAGTGAAGTAATTTCCTTTAAACATGATGTACTCTTTTCCTAAAACTATGTACTGCTTTTATCCCTAGATCAGATCGGGTTTCTCAAACTTGACACTATTGACATTTTGGACCTAATCATTCTTTTCTGTGAGAGATCGTCCTCTGTATTGTAAGATGTTTAGCAGAATGCCAGTAGCTTTTGACCCCAGTTATGACACCCCAAAATGTCTCCAGACATTTTCAAATGTCTCTTGGGGGCAGAATCACCCCTGGTAGAGAATGGCTGCCCTAGAACGGCAGGAACAAACTGAAAGCAACTTTAAAATAGCATTTTTGCAGAGTGCCAGGGTGGCTCAGTCAGTTGAGCATCCAACTTCAGCTCAGGTCATGATCTCACAGTCCGTGAGTTCAAGCCCTGTGTCAGGCTCTGTGCTGACAGCTCAGAACCTGGAGCCTGCTTTGGATTCTGTGTCTCCTTTTCTCTCTGCCACTCCCCTGCTCATGCTCTGTCCCTCTCTGTCTCAAAAATAAATAAAAAAAACCTTAAAATAGCATTTTTGCCTCTGTATGGACCACCACCTGTGCTACACATTGACTGTAATGTTAAGCGAAAAAAGTAAAGTATAAGAAAGATAGTGTGTGTGTACATGTATGGGTATGTGTGTGTGCATACACAGCGGTACCTCTGTGAGGCTAGGAAAAGTGAACTGATTTGCCATCTCAACAATGTTCCTGACTAATGCAGAAAAGATGCAGAAAAAAAAACACTGAAATTTCTCCACTGTCCACTAAACCCACCACACAGCCAAAACTTTGAAATGTGAATAGAAGTATATATTATTTTTCACAGGTAATAGAAATCTCCTTCCATCTTTACTTTTATTTACAGTGAGAAACTTGCTTATAGGATATAGGTACATGCCTTTTCGAGATCCTATTTCCTGATGTGTCAAGGATGCCTATACTCTGTGGTCATCTTTGTGATGCATACTATTTCTGGAAGTAGATTATACCTGGAGGGAATGACGGCAGAGTCTGCAGCTGACTGTGGCTGGGTCTTGATTTTCTCTGGCTCTGACACATCACCACTGTCTGCTAGCTTGTAAAATTCTCACCACCTGGCCTTGGCTGATGTTTCAGCCCCATTGGTGGAACAGTCCATTTGCTAGAATGGCTCCCTGGGGTTATCTGAGTTCGGGCCTTTATTTTAGTCTGACTCCACAGGGCAAACAATTTGGGGGGTGGTTATTGTGGTGAATGGGTAGAGGTAAATCTCTGTCTGCCTCCCTGGGCCATTGTAAATAAGACCCAGAATATTTCTGAAAGTGGCTGAACTACAAATTGGACAAGATAGGAAGGTCTTATTAGCTATATAGACTTTTCCTGGTGTATTTCATTCTCTGGTTCACATATGTTTCCTCCTCTCTGTGACATTTTGATCAAATCAAAGAACGAAGACATTTGCAATGAAGCAGCTACATGATGGTGCAAAGCAGAGAAGACTAAACACCCAAATGTAGGGCAAGCCTGGCAGTTGAGGTTGGAATTCACAGAAGTGGGTTATTGTCGAAGGTAGATTTGATAGGGAACTTCCTCCAGAAAATTTTGGAACTTGGATTAGGCTTCAAAAGTTAGGCTTTGTTAGGATTTAGCTGAGTAGAGAGAAGAGTTTGTGCAACACAGACATGGGGTATGTGCATGTGGTAAAATAATATGAGGGAAAGAGTGGAAATGGAATCATTGTGAAATACTGCTGGAGAGATGACCCTAAAAGAGAAGGTTTTGGTAAGGAGGAACGGGGCACAAATTTGGATAGGTGGAATGGGGACATTCCTGTGATGTTTAGTTTGAGAGCTTTTGGAAATGTCTTGCAAACTTTCCTTCCATACCTACAATGACAATGGAATCATGAAAATCTGACTCAAATGGTACTGACTGTTTTAGAAACAATTTTCATCTAAAGAGCATCACAGGAAAAATTTTGTTTACTGAGAGGACAATAGGGAAAGACACATTGATTTGTTAAGGCTTGGAGGGGTTTGTGCAAAAGCAAAAGAAATTCCTCTTTTGTGAGTAATGTGCATAAAAAAATGAGTGATCAAGAACCTGGGTCAATGCTCAGGGACATTGCATGGCATGGACTTTAACGTGGCTCAGAGCATCTCACAGTGCCAAGTATTCAATAATGTCTGTAGCAGAAACTGGCCCTACTTACAAGATGTAGAACTTGAATGTTGAGTTTTATAGGCTATTGATCTGAAATTGTGGGTTAATGATTTTTAAGTCCTTTAAAAATTTTAAAAATCTGATCGCTTTTCATGTATTTTGAATTCATCCACTTGAAAATCTGGGTTCACAAATTTCCAAAACAGTATGAAAAAACTAAGTTCCAACTTAAAAAAGAAAATATACATGGCACTTCCAAATCTTACCTAAGATAACTTTAAGAATGATCTAGTACTAAACTGGCTGCAGGCTTTTTATTCAACCCTGCTTTGTTCCAAAGAAAGCTATTAAAAGGGGTGGTTTAACACTGAGGAACCTTCTCTGATATACATATACATATACATATACATATACATATACATATACATATACATA